ATTATATTACAGACTTGAGCAAGGGGAATTACAAGAGCAACTGAGCCAAGCAGGCAATTTCCAGTGCCAACAATATGGGAGATAAAAAATAGACATGGTTTTGGAGTCATTATCTGATGAGTGCACTAAAGCAGGACATGTGTCTTTGTATTCGTCCTACAACACATTTGATTTATATGCAGGTAGGGAATAAATAACAAAAACAAAAATAATGAAAAAGCTGAGGACAAGGATAGCTACAGTACATAGTGAGCTTGATATATCTTACAATATAATCTACCTCATCTAGCCTTAATGACATAGAATCATAGAATGGTTTGGGTTGGAACGGACCTTTAAAGATCGTCTAGTCCAAGCCCCCTGCATGGGCAGGGACATTTTTCACTAGATCAGGTTGCTGAAAGCCCCATCCAACCTGACCTTGAACATTTTCAATGGTGGGACACCCACAACCTCTCTGGGCAACCTGTTCCATGTCTCACCACCCTCATTGTGAAAAATTATTTCCTTATATCCAATTTAAATCCCCCCTCTTTTGGTTTAAAACTGCTGCCCCTTGTCCTGTCACTGCAGGCCCTGGTAAAAAGTCTGTCCCCATCTTTCTTATAAGCCCCCTTTATATATTGAAAGGCCGCAATAAGGTCTCCCCAGAGCCTTCTCTTCTCCAGGCTGAACAACCCCAACTCTCTCAGCCTTTCTTCACAGGAGAGGGGTTCCATCCCTCTGACTGTTTTCGTGGCCCTCCTCTGGACCTGCTCTATGGTCCAGAAGTATTTTCAAATAATTCCCCAAATTACTTTTGGCTGTTTAAAGTGATGTCATTAAAATCTCGTGGACATACTGGAAAATTAGCATATGTTCAAAGCTGTCATACCATGCATCATTATATTGTCATCAGAAACTTTCACTGGCCTCATGGCCTTCTGTTTGCCCCTACCATAATATGCATTTTGTACTTCATTTTTTCTGGTTCTCCAAAACTGAATTTTCAAATTTGGAAGAAAAATCCTGTCAGAGAAGAAAACAGGTAAAAATAGGAAAAGATTAAATATAAAACCAGGAGAAAAGTCAATTGAGGAAAAGAAGGGAGGGAAATGACCGGGTTGGCACCATTGGCAAGCTTTGTAAAGTGACTACTCATCCCTTTTTGCCTTCTTTTTCTAAGCTACCCTGAATAAGGGTAGCAAAACAGAAATCTGACTTGCAAAAGTACATCATGATACTGCATGACTGGGCAATAAGAGGACAGATGAAACTGAATATAAATTTATGCAGAATAATTCAAGTGCTGGAAAAAATATACCAACTATAGATACACACTGATGGGTTCTGAACTAGATATTATCATTCAGGAAAGAGTTCATAGAGTTATAATAGGCAATTTTATGAAAATGCCATCTCATTGACTGTAACTTACAGTCAAAAATAAAAACAGAATAATCCACAACACTGGAAAGGAAAGAGAACAAACTAGGAAATTTCATTATGCCAGGGGATAAATCCGTGGTGTTCTCAGATCATGTGCAGTTCTGGTCTCACCATTTTTAAAAGGACAGAGAGTGACATAGGTGATCAAAAGCATTTAAGGACTTCTAAACAGTCTTCAGCCTGAAAAATATCTTAAGGGCAGATAGGGGAAGAGCCTATAAATTCTTAAGCAGAATGAAGAGCGAAATTGTTCACTTTCCTCTTCCAGTATTAGGAAATACCAAATGAAACTAGTAGGTGACAGGTTCAAAATAAGCAAAGTTCTTCACACAATCCGTATCACATTGTGGAACTCTGATGAAAGATAGCATCGGGACTCAAACTTTCCATAGATCCAAAAGGCAATTAAAAAACTCAGAGAAGAAAAATCTGTATCTTAAATACAAAGTAATGCTATGGCTCAAGAAGTCCTTGGACTGCCTACCAGAGAAAGCTGAGAAAATATGCACATCTAGTTATCACTAGCATTTAACCTCCTCCATAGAGTTAGGCATCAACCTAGCCCTAGTAAAACTTCAAATGCCTCCCTGGGAAGGGGGGAGGGGGCTTTGAGAAAAAGAAAAGTGAAAGAAAACAACTAATTACTGAAAAGAATGAAGTGAAATTAAATGGAGGGCTTTAGGGGTCAGAGGATAAAAAGTGTAAAACTAGGTGACTAAGGGGCAGACAAAGCAGAGCACCTTGGCTGCTAGCCACAGTCAAGGACAATACTGGGCTAGAGAGACATATTATGTGAGCTGGTACAGGCCTTCCTGTGTACCCACATACAGTTAGCCTAAAAAAGAGAGAACATATTTTAGGGTATGACTCAGCAAGCCAATGTGCCTCTATTAGCACAACACTTGAGCATGTGCTTGATATAACCATAAGGTCCATGGAAGTTAATGATGTTAATGTAAAATATACTTTGCATCAGACAGGCACAGAAATTTTATGTAGGACAGGAAGATAAAATCGGAACTTGCTGAAGGGCCTCCTGAAAAGATGAAATAGGCCGATGGACCAGAGTGGCACAGACCCAAGAGGGTATGATGGAACAGAAAGCTAAAAGGTAGGAATCAATGCTACACATAAAGATACGGTGCAAAAGCAGGTGTAAGATACATATCTAGTGCCTAAGAGGAAGCTGAGATCAAGGGAAGGTGTAACAAACAAATATTCTAGTGTTTATTCCAAGGCATAAACAAAGTTATAGTCTAATAATGGCAGAAGACATAGATTTGACACAGAACAAAATAACTAAGTGGGAAGGTGAGCCCTGTGCTATGGGATGAAGGAATGGACAGGGAAATTTGGTGGCAGCAGGCAAGAATGATGGTGGAGGTAAAAGTGCATGCCAAAGTCTGTTGATTACTTTTTCAAGGAACTAGTAAAATGTTAAGACAAGGAAGAAGGAGAAGTTTGGGTAGGCTGTGGGAGTTGCAAAATCATGGCAGGTACTGGAAGCAGCTATCTAGAAAAATCAAAACTGTTGGAGACTAGTGCCTTTCACAACAAAATGGACAACAAGGAAAAGCTTTTGAAATGTCCTCTTTTCAAAGGGAACACTTTCAACCATTCTACCATTTACTATAGATTTTGCAAACACTCAAGGTATTAAAAAGTTGATAAATTGTTCATTTAAAACAAAACAAAAAAAAACCCTGTCAAAAAAAATCTGAAGTTTCCATTTTGAAACCTCATTGACTGTAATTTTAAAAAAGTTTACAATTTTGAACTGGAACAAAACTTTAAATGCTAGCTGAATGAAACCTATGTAGTGACCCCAAATTATTTTTCTATTGAATTTTCCAGAATGAATTAAAAAATTAAGTTAAATTTTACATTTTTCAAATTGCCAAGAAACTAAAAAAAAACTTTAACTTGCTAAATTTGCAGATCGCAAAGATGGTCTTGCAAAAATGTAATTCAAACCACAAAGATCACCTTTTCCCAAACTGCACCCTACCATGAAATCGGAAGCACGCCTGAAAAGTCAGAAAATTAAGCCTTCTTTTGGAATAAAAATGATGAAAAGACCATCACAGAAACGCCTTGGGAAATCTCCATACCATACTGAGAGGATTTCAGCTTAAGGACTTCTTCAGAACACTGTACAGCTGTGACCAGCAGGGAGGCAGATGGAGAACTAGAGAGACAAAAACTGTGCAGCAAGTAATGTGTGTAGCCCCCATCCTTGCTCACCAGCAATATCCCAAAGCACTTTTCTTTCCACACCAGCAGATAAATAAAATGGGTATTATTTAGAAGGGATAACCATATGGTTTGTATAATCTTTCTGTGCCATTTTCAGTACATTATTATAATACGTGATAGAGACCTACAAAATACGATTAAAATTTGCTTTCCATTGTACCACCAACCTGTTCCATTTGGGTACAGAGACAGAAGTGAGGGCACTATAACAGTGTATGTTGCTTCCACATGCTGTCCCTACCTTAATACTCACAGAACAATGCAATTGTTCCATGTGGGGTACATGATTGGGTTCCCAAGCTCAAATAAATATTTATCAGCCTTGCTGATAATTATTTGCTAGTAAATATTTGTTTAAATTGTGAAGTCCTGACTTTTTTTTATATTCCATTTCAGCCTACATGCATCTGTCTGCTTTGTGCCTTCCCAGTGTGGATGCTGTAATATGCAGCAAAAAAGACAGGAAAAATGCAAAAATATCAACTATAGGAAAGAAAATCAACCTAGAAACCGAAATCCACTACCCTTACACTGTGTCCTTTCTCTCTCTTCATTTCCTCTCACCCTTTTTTTGCTAATGAAGTACCAGAGTCCAGAATCCATTTTTATTCTAAATTAAGGTATCCACACTGCTGCAGGAACAATACCGATCAGGGTTTTTGTCTGGATACAGTGTATGCTTTCCAATTTTCACTGTCATTTTTTTTAGCATATACAAAACATTGCAGAAGCACATGTAAATCACCACTCTCTTGCCCAGTGGAACAGAATTTCAGTTACCAATGCCAACAGTTGCCTACAGAAGGCATCTACATCTGGTCTGCTACATCCAAGACAGCAACCACAGGCACACGTTTTGCTTTGTTTGGAATTCATCACTGTGGTGCAGCTGAGCCTCAGATAAAAAAACCATGAGCCTCCGGGGTTAAACAGACAAATGTTTTCAGTCACAACAACTTTTTTTGCAGGGAAGCAAAGCCATAACAATATATGTTAGAGGTTTTATGTAAATCATTAAAGGCCTACTGACTCAAATTGTTACTAACACCAAGAAGTTGCTTAATGTACACTTGAGAGTGTGAAGGCAGAACAGATGAATAGTCTCACAAATCTTATTTGCTCAGTTGGAAAAATGCAAAAATATTTGTAAAAAAAAAAAAAAAGAAAAAATCTGATTCCCGTTCACTGCCATTCAAATTTAAAAGTCAAATTAATATTCATAATTTCTGAGTGCATGATGGTTTTTACTGGGAGGCAGAAGGGGCAGATTCAATCAGTAAACAAATTTTCATATCCACACAGAATTCAATACCTACCTAGCCACTCGTTGAATTTTTTTACTTCACTAGGAAGTCCCAGCTCAGTAAAATCACCAGCATGTATTAACACATCTCCATATGGCATTTGGATGGGATCAGTTCTTGAGTGAGTATCAGAAATACAGACAAATCGTGTATATCCTGGAGGTTTGGGAGCATCATGGGGCACCGGATCAACCCTGCAGGAAATGCATCATAACAAGGTTATAAAGTACTTATGTGCTTCTTAGTGTCTGCTTTGCAATTCTAATACTATTTTTTATTTTACCTTTACAAAAGATTACACAGACTTCTAGATCTGTCTGATGGAAGGGACTTATTAAAACAAACCTAACACTAACGGGAGGTGTAAAAATTCTTGATGTTCACATCACAACATTTTCAGTATTTGTTGGGTAGATGGATTAATTTAAAGAGATTACGGAAAAGAGATTGAACTATGGCAGTAACTCTGAAACAAATACTCACAAATAAATCAAAGACATTGCCAGTTTCAAAGGAACAGTACTATCCCATTTCATTGTTTAAGTATGATTACACGATACACAGGGAAAAGATTTATTTTAGATATATAAATACATTTAAATGCATTTTTTCTAATTATAACTTTTTTTCTGTAAGTTCTGTAATTCCAGCAAATTTAATTAACACATTTTGGAGATATGTTTCAGTGTGCTAATGCAAAGCAAGATAAGAACTCTCCTGACAACTGCTGTAAATGTACGTTGAAGCCTGACTATTGTCAGGACAAATGTGGCAACTTTCTGGGCTTAATTATACTAAATGAAATCAGATGCTGTGAGGGGTGAGGCTGCATTGTTCAGAGCCCAATCTTGATATTCAAAACTGAGGAAACGAAAAGATCTGACCCAGTTTGATGAGACTTACTTATGATTTAGAAGAGGAAAGCAGAGAACACCTCTCTGCTATGTGAGGAATACTTATTTTCAACTCTATCTTTTTACCTTCAATCCATATTTTGTTAGAATATATAGAAGCAAATGTATCTATAATGCAGCTATACTGTTATCTGCTATTCCAGTTAGGGAATTCTGGTGGAATAAAATCAAAAAGCTAGAGATGCAAGAGTTATATTTACATCACTAGAAACCAGAGAGATATACAGAATCATTACGAATTATTTTACTTTTACAACATTTATTTTGAGAGAACAAATAAAACTGGTTTTCTTTACTGTTGCAGTATGTAATACTTATTCCTATCCTTTGCTGGTTGTGCTTCAATTCAGTAGCTTACTTTTACATAAATAAACTCAGAAAAAAAGTTGAGAGATCTGTGCTATTTATAATACTACCCCTGTTTACTGGGTAAATTTTCAGAAGTCATTTTATTGTTTGAAAGACATATGGTAATAATCTTTAATCGTGCAATCTTTTCTCTAAGTCAAAGAAGAATTCTATTAAATTTACAGGCGGGTAAACTGAGGTGTTTTTGACAACTTCACAAGATCAGTGAGAGAGAGGAATAAATCTAAAACATTCAAATCTTGTTAAATATAGGAAAAGTTCTTAGCATTTTCTAAAATATAACTATAAAACTAGAGTATGAACAAATTGGTTTGTACCCGTCTTTCCTATACCTTTTTAGGAAGAAGAAATGTTGGGTGTTTTACAGGAGTACTGGAGAAACAGCCTTTTAGTACAAGAACCTTGTAGTCATCTTTCTGAAGTTCCATTTCTTGAGCAGCAAGTAACCAAACATGAGGCAAGGAGTAAAACCAGCTGCGATCAAATCATACCTAATGAATACCCAGCAGTACGTACATGCTAGTGGGGTATGTAAGCAAGCACGTACTGGAAATTGTAAAACTTGACTGACAAAGAGACGAACGTTTGGACCCTGAGAGAGAGCAGCTGCAAACGCTTCGTGTAGGGCGGGGGGAGGTATAGGTCTGAGGGAGTGTATGTGTGTGAGAGGACCACAGGCACATGTAGTGGGGCAGATGAAAAAAAGAGAGCTAGATGCAGGGGGAGTTAGGCATAGGAGGTCACAACCTCAAACAGTGCAGCTGCATGACTGCCGTCGCATGTTAAAAATGCCTCTGTTTTGGAGGGAAGAGAGCTGCCATGGAGCGAGCTCCATTGGTGGTGAGTGGAGGTAGCATGGATGCAAAGGAATATGGATGGTGAATGGTGGGGTTTAGACTTGTGAGTGAGGCCTGTCATAAGGTGCGAGCTGTGTGAAGGGTAATGCATTCAGTTCATGGAGTTCCTCCTCAAAATGAACTGGGATGGCTGGATAAAAATGAGGCGGAGCTGACCCTGGCTATAGTTGCAGCCATTTAAGCTAAAAAGATTAAACATGGGTTCAGTAAACAAATCTCTGATTGTTGCTCTCCCGGCCCAGCACTTCCCCGAGTTACAGGTCGTATTAGTAAACCGGGTTTAAATTATGCATACTACCCTGGCACAACATAAGGATATGGCCTGGTCTAAAACACCACTTTTTGACTTTTCATGGTAGAGTAGCCTTCAAAGCACGTGCTGCTTCTCCTTCAGAAATCTTTTGAAGCTCAGCACAGCAGTAAGCTGGGTGTTGGGGAGTAGCATGCATTTCACATGTTGGTCCTCTGAAGCTGAATGGAAAAAAACCCAGACTTACCATGACAACCCATGCAGCACATAATACACATGCTTTTTCTTATAGTTTGGATGGGGAAGATGTGGACAGCATTTTCCTGGTTGCTAAGATATGTGTAACTTTTAAATCCTGTCCAATGGGCCAGAGAATTTTCATGGGAAAAAGGCATCGATACAAAAAAACAAACAAACGAGATGCAGATTTTCATGCTGAAGCAATATGCACACACTGAGGCCGGATATAGGTAAAAACATATGTCAAGTTTCACAAATGCATCTAAGTTGTATTACTGGAAATAATTTCTGAAGGCTCCATCCCCATATTCTTGTGTAACGCATTCCCACAGCAGCTGTCACACCAACACCCAATGCACTGCTTGCAGCGTGAGCAGAGGAATAAAGATCTGCTGATTATTTTTGTGCAAATGCTTTTGGTTTTCTTTAAACCAGTATGAAAACTTGCAGAGAAACTGAAAAGCAAAGTTAAAAAAATCTCAGAGTACAGCCCTGCCAGAGGTTAGTTTATACACTAGATTTCAGTGGTTTCACAAAGGAGCAAGACAGGAACTTCCCAGAAACTACTGATGGACTTGAAAACACTGTCAGAATTTACCACCCTTCTTGTCAGTGGCAACTCAGTCATCTCACAGGCACAGGGATGCCAGACTAAGAGGGGGCTAGGAAAGGGCTGTCAGCGTGTTATGGGTGCTAAAAAGCGAAACAAGAAATGTAAAACTGCACGGAGGACCAAGGAAGAGCTGTAAGATTGAATTCAGAAGAAAAGGAGCACAAAAAAACCCCCGTGGTTAGTTTACTACGAGTTCCAATGTTAACAGGTCTATGTGAAACTTGTTTATGATTGCCTGCAACATCGCTAATTTAGGTATTTTGAACTATACACAAAGGCAAGGCAAAGCCCTCACCTCCCTGAAGTTAATGACAAAACTTGCATGGACTAAAGCAGGGCTAAGATTTCACCCATAACAATCATGTGAATAAAAGGTGCTTTTGTTACACTTTTTATGTCTATGTTTCCCTTCTTTGTTACCATTCTATTCATTGGTAGGAGGTAAAAGCAATCCTGCTGGTATTCAGAAACATTATTTACAATTTCTGTACCAAGAGAAAGAGTAGGTCAGATTGTGGTAAATGTTTCAATTGATTTAGCCTGTTTTTCTATTTGCACAAGCTTCTTCAATAGTATTAATCATTCATAAGAGATTGCTAAACTCTTCTGAGGAACCATTTTCTAAGGATAGCTTATTTTCAACTACTTGCTTAGGTGCTGAACTTCTATCATGCAGTTGATTGTCTAAGCCCTCCAGTAATATGATTTGTTACTGGTTAGAAGTTTAAACAGCATATTGTTGAGTACCAAGTGGAAACTAATAAATAACTTATTTTCAGCCCAGTAAAAAAACATTCAGCTTTTAAGACCAGTGAACAAATTCATGAGTGCCCAGGAACTCTCTGAATATTCACAAAGAATGGCTAAGCCTCAACAAATAAAGCAACCTCCATTTGGCATTTTCATTTGTAAAAGTATTTTTGAACCCACAGTTGTTTGCTTGTACTTTTGATACCATTTGCCAGCTCTATAAACAAAGGCTGTTTCCCAGTGCTAACACTCAACTCATTTTACTGTTTCCATTTCAATAGTACCTAAAAACCCCCAACACAGACCATAAGCTAATACACTGCCCCCCAAAACTGAGTGTTTGCTCACCACCCTGGTGTATCTGTTAGTCTCCAGATTTTCTTTTAATATAATATCTAATTTATGGCAAAGAATGTATGTAAGCATTGACTAAATATATACATAACATTCAACCAGTCATAACTGCTGAGTTTTTTAACTGCAGAAATCATGACCTATGTTTGTAAATTACCAAATCATATTAAATACCAAGAACATGAATGAAGTGACTATTTATTCAGTCTTCCTAAAGGAACAAAAGTTCCCTTTAAAAAAAAAGAAAACCAGCCTTCTGATCTAAAGATAAGGCTGCTTCTCTCTTTAATAAACACAATAAAATGGTGCAGACATTTTTATTCCCTATAAAAATATTTTACAGTAGAATTTTATACTTAATTTATTTGTAATAGCTTTACTGTTTTGCTCTTCCTCCTGGCTTTAAACTTTATGGCAGGTTTCATTTTGTAATTATAATTCTCCACTTTACATTACAAGTAAATCATTTAGAGCAGTTAATTTTACTGATGTTGTCATTATATAAGAAGTCAGAAACAAACACATTATTTTAATTACTCTTTAAGCACTTGGCATCTTCAGCACATCGGTATGAAAGTAAGTTGTCGGATGGGTGCCCACACTATTTTATTTATTGATGTGATTTTTCCCTTGCATGTAGCTGTAATATAACTCACCAAACAGTATGTGTTGTACAGATACAAGCTCGGTATTTTCAACAACTATTTACATCAATAAACAAGTGCACAATGCAAACAAACATTATTAAGATTGCAGAAAGTATCATCCTTGTAGCACCTCTTATTTTATTACCACTGCTTGTTGTTTATTTCTCTTTTTAATACGTAAGTAGTATGTATTAAAGTTATGCTAGTGGAGTGATCTTTCTCCCATCCTTTAACAAAGTACTTATACTTTCCAAATGGACTGATTTTGTATCATTATAGTAATTATTATTAGAAAGGCAGCAAAACAGTGTTCTTTGAATTCTTTTTGACTGGTCCATCAAATACCACATCGACAAGGCAATAACAATTCAGAAGGCTGTGCTAGAGCAATAACAAAACTATAATACTTACATTTGCACATGTGGGGGCTGAAAACGTCCCTGGTTAATGTTGTAGAACGTGAAAGCCTGTGTGGGGTTGGAGCTGTACTCATCCACTTCAATTATGAGTCTACTGTGCTGATGCCTTCTAGCTGCCATAATGTGCGACTGGGCGAAAGCCATGCTTGCGCCGTGTAGTTCAGCTTTTTCAGGCGATCATATCTGCTATCTTCCTACATCGACGGAAGAAGACCATGACATCTCCTTACCTAATCAGCACACTCCCCTTCGAAAAACCTAAAAGCAGATTGCAGAGATGGAGCGTAACTGTTTGACAGTTAATCTGTTTGGAATTTGCTTTATTTAATATGAGATGAAGGGGGGGATACGGAGGGATGAAGACACAGCTCAAAGAACTCATCACAAACCTCTCCAAGTCAGCAATTTGATGAACGTACTTTGGTTGGGGGTGGGAAGCAGGGAGTGGAAGTAAACTTGCTAAAGAAAGCAGGGGCAACTTGCTCGAGTATTTCAAACATTTAATACAAATCTAAAAGACAAGGCAGTCATTCTTCAGAATGGCGCATCAAATAATAATGTTTCTTCAACACAATCATTTACTTTCTTTTTTTATTGCACTGCTGAACTTTTAATACCCATCCTGCTTCCAAAATCCCCACCAAACCTGAAACTGAATACGCAGCTGTGCACAACTAAAATGTGAGTTAATGAAACAAGAATCAGTTCACCCAATTCTTCAGAAAGTCTGCACCATTTATTACAGGGAAGCACTGCAAGTGGTTGTTCTTTAAATCCAAAGGAACAGAGCAAACGGCGTTCTGTGCACTTGCTCCTGGTTTTATAGTATCACTGAAGGAACTCCTGACACAGATACGAAGGGCTCCACCCTTCAAACACATTCTCTTCTCAGTCAGCACTACCCAACATTCTGTATCCACTGGAAAAGAAAGTGATTCAAAGGCTAATACACAGTTAAATGTTATTAAATATTAAAAAAAGTAAAATCCATCCAGGTTTTATGTTTGGGAATAAACTTTTCCCTGAAGGTTACGCAAGTCTAGAACAGCAGCACTGAAAATGGGTAGAGGAACAGCAAAGTGAAACCAACTGGAATGCAAAGAGTATCCCCTAGAAACAGCAGAAAGTAATTTAAATGTGAATTTTACTTTTATTTCCCAGTTTTAATAAAAAATGGATTATGAGCTCTAAAGGTGGGTATTTTTACAGTATAACTCTGCATCCTTTTTAAAAGTTGTCTGTCTGAAATATTTACTTTCATGCAAGCAAGGGTTCTTTTCTTCTAGGGAATATAAGTAATCTGCTTCAGAAGATATATTTCATGAAAAGCCATGCTAGAATGCAGCAATTCACTTAATACGTGCAGTTTCTGGAAAGCAGGACTGCAAGTATTTTATGTGACCTTGCTGACAGGCCTTACTTCCATTCTGAAGGGACCACTGCCAAGAGTGATGGATGAGGGAGGTCTTCATAGTCACTCAAATTTTTAAAGCTATTTACAGGTACTTCAGTCCAATTCAGTTCTAGTGGCAGTCAAGCACCTAAGCATCTTTAAAAATCTGGGCTTCAGTCCTTTGCTTAACTACTACAGATGTTAAGTGCTCCAAGAAGTGGCTGTGTATTTTTGTTTTGGGAAATCTTGTCCTTAGGAAACTGAAATGAGAGATTCAGCTCAGTTTTGTTACTTGCTGAATGGCTGTAAAATGATGACAACTTGCTGTCACTAACAACCCGCAGGAAAACAGCCTGAGAATAGAAGAGCAGATTCCTTCATGCCCTCCCCTAGAATCGAGTGGTAAGGAATGGTAGAATAACAACAAAGAAAATTTTGGATTTTAAACACTCTCAGATGCTGCGTTCAGGCTACGGAACAAGCAGCAGCACAAAGGAATGTGCCAGAGCAGGGGGAGGGAAGGGAGGCATGATCCTTGTAAGAATAATCAAGTACAAATTGCTGCATTTAGGAAATAAGAAATTATGATGGCAGATGTGAAGAACCCTCCCCGAGGAGCTTCCTGTATTAAATGATGCATTTGTAAAGAAGTTTGAATAGGCAAGGTCAGATATTTTATAGGGGGCAAACTGTTCTAAGTGAACCTACGTCTGTTTGAAAGAAACTATTAGAACTGGTGACCTCTAGAAATACTCTCCAGTAAGATTAATAATTTATGATTCCACAGCTCTACATAAGGATTTCAAACTACCTGAAAAACACAGCCTTTGTTTTATAATTCAGGGATTATGCCCACTTTACACACAACTGAACTGCAGTTACAAAGGAGTTAAGGCACTGCCTTAGGGACCTAGAATCCCCCTTTGGCCTTAATAAGTTCTCAGGAGCTCACAGCAGCTAAGAAAATGCCTTCTGTCAGCCTCCTGTTCGGGTCCTGTCTTTTATGACTTCTCCTAAGTTATACATCAAATCTGTTGCAGAAACAGCAGATGTATGCACGTACCCCAATATCCACTCTTAAGATCTGCTTCCTTTTTCTGGATAAGTGGAAAATATCACTTACCAATGCAAACTAACTCAAAAGAACAAATTTGTTTGCCAACAGAAACAAACCACAGCCGGCACACCGCTGATACACCCTTTAGTGCTGAAGAGTTGTTTTAAGCAGGGAGTCAATCCTTGCACATGGGAGAGTGTGTGAATCACACCATTAGGCCCGCTTGAGAGGATGCTAGCCACAGACATTCAGCGAGAAGTTCACCATATAAACATGCAGAAAATGGGAAGACAACATATTTCACTTAAGAAAAAAAAAAAAAAAGGAAAAAAACAAAAGATAAGCCACCGCACTGCTAAGCCTTCTGCCAAATAACAGTCACCCAATGTCAACCCTGGATACATAAAAAGCATCCAAGACTGGAGAAGAAAAGAGCGAGCCACATCCTGCAATAAAAATAACCAGCAATCATATGAATAGCCTGTGCTAAACAAAAATCAGATATGTAACACACATAATCAGTAAGCATAATTCAATAGCAAGCTTAATTCAAGCTCATTTCAGAAACATACACAGATGTCTTTGAACCTTACCTTTCAGTCTAGGGTTTTCTTCCTGCATAAGTGGTTGGCTGACTACTAACATTCTTGGTGTTCGACAGAACAAGCTGTCTCTTTCCAGCTTGACTGATAACCAGACTGACACCCATTACTCCCCTCTTTCTGTTTCCATTTCCAATCGTCCCCCAAATCGTAACTTTTTCTTTCTTTTAATATTCTGAAATTTCTTCCTTTCCCAAACCGGAGTATAAAATGCAGCAGGGAAATAATTATCTGCTTCTATAGCATGCAAGTTTTAAAATTATATGCCCAGCATTACCAACACAAAGCATTAAGACTCAAATCCCCACAGCAACAACATGCTAACCATCCTCTTCCCCCAGACTTATGGAGCTGCGGGATGTCTGCCAGGGAAAAACAGAGAAATGTAAAAAGGACTGCAAGAACATGAATACTAAAATAAATATCACAAACCTGGCTGTTAGAATCACAGACTGAGAAAAAGCTATTAAATCAGCTAAGCCATCTTCTTACTGATGGCAGGAATGTTCTCCATACATTATTTTTCTGCTGCTCTCTCCAGCACGTGTTCAAATGTTCAGAGAGCTCTGACCCAAAGCCCACCGTGTACAGTGGACACTGCTCCACTGTCTTCAGAAGACTTTGCATCAGGCCATAAACTATGTGGATTGCAACATCTCTCCTGAGGAATTACTGGACTAGGCAGGTGCTTGAACCCAGATGGATATTTAAGTCCTTTGATGAGATCCTCAAATAAATCTTTGTATTAAGATTTTTGTACTTTTTCAGCCTGAAATTTCTGGTATTTTCATCTCACAGCCTTCTTGTCTCGCTGGCATAATTATTTCCCTCTTTTACATGAATCTTCCAGCCTATTCATGCATCCTATTTCTCTTTTTTCCCCATTTCAAGCCAACGTTTTATTTTAATCTCACTTCTTATCTCAGAGATTCTGCTTTATTCTATGTTCATCCTTCCGTTCACTCTCATGTCCACTGTCTCTCGCCATATCTCCTTCCATCAGCCCCACTGTTCCCTCCATCATCTACCCTTTGTCTCAAGCCTAAAAACAACACTGAGACTTCTTGAAAATTATTCCAGCAACACAAAACATTAATCTAGGCTTGAAAACAACATGGCTCAAGCAGATGTCACTGAAATAACAACTAGAAACCAAGATAAAATATTGATGATGATTATGATAATAAAAAAGAAGTTATAAATTAAGAGACAAAACTGTGAAGGAGTTATCTGTTGAGCAATGAACTTCACTAGGTTACAATAAATCTAGAGGCCAAGAAGCACAACATGGCTATAGCATACCCCAGCAAGAGTTGAAGAGAGGCATTTGCCAGATTTTGCACTAACAACAGTGAGATGACATAAAGAAAGAAGAGGTTGGTGGGACTCTGGGCAGTACCAAGATCAGTGGCAAAGAGGCAGCTAGAGAAAACACGTTAGTTTTGTTCAGAGAGTCTGACAAGCTGGGATTTGGGGAGGCAATGAAGAAATGAAATGTGGTATAAAAAAAGGCATTTTCATGCAGCTATAAAACATCAAAGCCATATTTTTGCAGGGAAAGCCAGTATGACAACAGCAGTAAAATACCTTAAAGAAGCACATGAGAGTTTGTGATAGACCGCATAGTGACACACTTGCTTCTTGTGCAAATCTTGGATACTGTTAACCAGAAACCCTTCCAAGAGCTTCATCAAGGGTTCAGGTCTTCCCCTATACTGCACTACAGCGCTCTTCATAAACTGTCAGGTCATCCTTTACACGGGGAAGTAGACCCTTTATTTAAACCTAAAAAAAGTGCTACAGAATATTCTGCAGCAATGGTCCCAATTGTCATAGTAACATTCCTATAACCACTAGTGACTGGCTTCATTATCACAAACTACTATTTTTGTTTCAACCCCCCACAAAAAAGCTTGTTATAGACTGACCAGCAATGAGCGAACATACTGGAATCAGTAAAGCAATCACTTACTATGAGAAATAGGCTGAAAATGCTAAAGGTTTTTCACTAAGATACCCATTTCAGATACTCCAGATAGAAGCCAATCAATGGAATTAGTCTGCTATCTTCAGTTCTGCCATCAGGAAATGA